GACGGCCGGTCAGCACATTAAATGGCATAAAGAAATTTCAAAATTTTTCATTGTTTATTAAATTAAAGCAAAGAAAGGCCGCGATTCTCCAAGGACCACCAACGAAAGGGTTCGCTTATCGTTGATAACCTTTTGAGTTCAAATGACAAGCGATACACCGTCAGTAGGGAGAAAGTGGAAAGTAGCGCTTCTTGTCAAATATATGATGGTAAGAGTAAAGCACAGTGATGGGCCGGCAACTGGGTCTTATATTTTGAAAGGAAGTTAGTCCCCTTTGCATGGAAAAACCTGCTCTTGATGAAGATTTCTGTACTGTGTACCGTGTATCGTAGTGTAATGCTTACAATAAGCGCTCCTGGACGTGTCTTCGATACACAAGCGCAGAGTCGAAATATAAATCCTATTAAAAATGTGCGAAGCGAATAATTATGTGAGAAAATTTTACCAGAGATTTACCAAATTTTATATATTGGCTTAGTGTTCTCGCAACTACTGCTTAACTGGGCCGAGAGTGCTGGAAAATTTCATCTTAAGCGGCATATTGACGCATCTCACAAGCTCATATAGGGCAGACATGAGCTGCAATCAGCGAATCAGTGAATTACGATTCCGCCAACTGACACTTATGACGAAACTAGAGTGCAGTCATCGTGCTGGAGCGACTCGAGATGCTGGCGATTATGCTGATTATTTAAAAATATGATACTGGAATGTAATGTCATATGTACATCATTCGTAATTAAAATGTTGTTTCTCATTAGCCAAGGGACAAATATGTGTGTATGTATTTCCTACTACTTCTTGTTAAGCAAGCAATTGTGAAGGTTAAGTGAAGAGAGCTGTTTCCAAGAATAACATGTTGGAAAGAGATGTAATCAGATTGAATTTATTCCGCGCACATTTACATAAACAAAGAATTAAAAGCAACACTTATCGTTTTAACATAGTTAATGAGATAAGTCCAATGGCAATTCAAAGGGGTAACCGTTGCCTTCTTTATGAACATGCCACTGCATCACCATAATCGTTAATAATATCAACGACAATTTAAATAGTGAGGAACAAAAGCGATTCCCTTTTTGTGATATTTTCAATTCGTCCTCTAAGTAACCTTTGTCAGCAACCCTCCGCATTCATATTCGAAAAGGAAAACCTTAAACTTGACATAATTTCAACTTGTCAACGCACACATGTGAAAGGGAAAATGCAACTCAGATGGCCTTGTCATTTCGACTTGGAAACTTTAGAATTTTTCCTTTCAAACAGTACGATACGATAATGACCTTGAAAATTTTATTACAAGTTTTTTCACTCTTATGTATTATTGAAATTTTCGCTCGGAAAACACAATGACAGTCACTGCATTAAAAAAAAGAAAATGAAATAAAATCATGATTCGATTTTTGCTTACCAACAACGCTGCCAGCGCAGACATACACATGTCGTGCGCACACTTACACATACGTGCATGTGACGCTAAGCAGTGCTCTAATCCATTCTGATTGTCACAGGTTACGCAAACGATATTAAGCGAATATAAACATGTATATACATATACATATGTATACACTTGCACTTGTGCACATACACTTGTATATATGTACTTGTATATATATATATATATGTATACCCTTGTATATATGTAATTGTATATATTCGGTTTATTTACTTAGGGCGAGTGCAGATAAGGTCTTCTCTTTCTAAATATATGTACGCATGTATGTTTGTTTGTTTATGCATACATATATATGCAATATAGAAATAGATTCTTAGTTGACATCTGTGCACATAGTTTCAATTGTTGTAACTTATATTAGCCTGCCTTAGGGAAATCAATCGATTTGTAACGCTAACACTCGAAAAGGTACACGTGGACACTGTAATTGATTTCGATTGTTTTCATTGTTGGAATCATTGGAATTGGCCAAGTCAAGGAGATTGATCGTTGATTCTTTCGGCGGTCACTTGAGTTCAGTAAAATTTTAACGTCGCTAAGACTATCACAAAACCTCACTCACTATATTCACTTCAATATACTCGCTTACCTTAGTAAGGGATATCTGCAGCACATTTAATCATATTTGGCTATTGTGTATAATCGTATTAAGCGACGAGGACATCAAGAGTCGACCAATGTCGCACATATTGTTTTCCCACTACTTTTGCACTGCTCTTGTTTTAGTTAGCCAAGTTCATTATGGCCAAGACAGTGAAATGAATTGATTTTGTTTGAGTTTACGATGTAATCGCGCTTCTCTTCTATGTGAGCAAAATATCAAGGTTATGGTTATATATTGGTATGGACAGACTTTATAAAAACGTAGAGCTTAAGCACAGGAAGAAGACGTAAACGATAAATCAAATAGCAATAGCAATAGTAATCATATAATAGGTTGGTAGAAAAGTTCTGCCGTATATTAGTACCTGCGAGTAATCTCATTTGCCTGGCGAAGTGAAACAGTCAGAATGCTTCGGCTGGGTCGGCCTTATTATTTAGCTCAGCTCTCGCGAGATATGAGAGGACAAACTTTTATACCCTTCATCAGTTAGCTGCGAAGCGCAGAGTAAATAAAGAGCAGCAGATAAACTGCATTGAACTTTTCGATCTCGGAAGCTTAAAAAAAAAAAAGCAAAGAAGCGATTACAAAGCACGATTGAAAAGGCCTTTAACATCTCTAAGTAATTAGTTTTTCTCCACTTGTTCTAGTTTGCGCTACACCGCTGACACATACTTACTTCTACCTTTATGGGCCATTTTGACGCATCACTTTTGTGGAATCGCTACCGATCGAAAAATGATTGCAAGAAATCGATCATGAAACGCATTATTATGGGAGATGACACTTGAATCTACGCAAACGACACGGAAACACCGATCGATCGAACGAATATTGTGCAAAAGTTAGGCCAATACTGAAAAAATTGCATCGGAATCATTCAAAAATCAAGGTGATGTTAACAGCATGGCCAAACTGTTAGCTGGGAATATTATTTAAGTGTTATGCGTCTTTTGCGTGAACATATTCGCCAGAATTGTGAAAAGAGAACTCAAAGTCAAGTTGCCCTTACTTTTTGGACACAAAAACGAAAGCTATGTTCGATTAACTTCAAGAATTCATTAGATGCAAATCATTTTCGATAACTATAATTTTATTTAACAGATTTTTTTTAAATTTTATTCAATAATTTTGGGTTTGACTTTGGCTTAATTTCAATGCTTATATTGGATTGCTTATTAGATGTCTTGCTAATTGCCATTGATATAAATTTGCTTTGAATTTCGCATAAAAAAATTAGCTTCTAAAAATCAATCGTACCACACTTGCATAAATTATGATCAAAATACCTTCCACCAACCTGTCATAACCATGCTAATTAATACCTTCCATAAATCTGTCATAACCACGCTAATAAAAAATATAAATTTGGGGGACTTTTGCCGACGGGTTTCCAATTAGCATAGAGTATTACGTTTTTTCTGTAAGTTAGCATAGGGTATTACGTTTTTTCTGCAAATAGCCGAGAATTTAACGTTGGCTTTGCTTGCCTACCTTTAGGTGTATATATTATATTAATGTAATAATTGAGATTGCTTATACGTCCTCTTAGAATTTCTTTTTAGTTTTATCTTCTTTTTGATGACGAAATATGTTTATATATGTTTTATTAAGTCTAATCAAAGAATAATCTTTCCGTTTTTTTTCGTTTTCTATACTGTAAATTAGCATAGAGTATTACGTTCGCTCTGTAAATAGCATAGAGTATTACGTTCGCTCTGTAAATAGCAGAATATTTAGCTACTGTTTTGTTTAATTTGATAATAAAAAAAAAAAATTATGGCGGTCTACTTTTACGCTTGCTCGTAAAATTAAATAAGTTCAGTTCTCGTATTTTCCAAAACACTAAACAGTTAGTTTCAATTTAGTGGTTTCAATATGATGTCCTCGGAGACAGGCCGAACCTTCCAGGCGTCTTACAAATGTTTTTCAGTATCCATGTTACCAGGTAACGAGCGGGAAGATGTAGAGAATGGTGGTAAAAGTAAGTCTGAAGAAAAATAAGAGACTTAGATTGTATGAGAACGCTTTTAAAATACGTTGCAGTAATTATGCCTCCTTCGGCTTTGGATACATTAACTCGCTTAAACGTTGAGTACCCAATGTTATTCAAATCGAAAAAACAATAAAAAAAGGTCGGCATTCACACGCTGGGGTTTTGGAATTCGTGGCCGATGAAGGATGACGGATAACCTATTGTTAGAAGAGGGTGGTATACTTACAATTGAAAGTGTCTCGCTGCCAGTAGCGAAATTCTCCAAATTTCAACCACACAGTAATGAATTTTTTGGACATCACTAATCCGAAAGCTGTTCTGGAAGTTCTACTGGCGATGTCATCGCTATCAAATATAACAAAAAAGTTTATGAATTGTGTGTTTTGGAAACAAAACCAGGTAATGCAGTTAGCATAATAGAATGCGACATGAATGTGGAATTTGAGGCTCCTGTGGGTTAGAAAGGTACATCTGAGCAACTGAAAGAGAATATACGAGACGAAGCGCCACAAGATCATATTATGGAAGAAATGGTGGAAACTTTTAAAGGCTCGGGAATACGTCTGGATGGCAAAAAGAAAAAGGAAAATCCATTAGATGCACCAGTAGTTAAAAGGGTAAGTATATATCAAAAATACCTAACACATTTCATATATCAAAAATACCTAACATCTTTTTGTAGGTTTTGACTCGCGGCGTTCCAGATTACGATTATAAATTCGGTCTTTTAAGGTTCGATCACTCAATTAAGGCAATTAGTGATCAAATAGCCGAGAACGATACCAATGTAATTGAGACTGAAGAAAGTTTCCATGGTCAAGGCTTCTCCATGAAAAAATCACGCAAATAAATTGTTTTTATAATCATTTTTATTTATTTTTAACTTTATTGAAAGTGGATAATAAACGAAATGGGATGTTAATACATTCACAAAGCTAATATCAGTGTAATGGGCTATGCGTCCTTCCGAGACGAAGGTGGTATGGCAGACATAAGCGGCAATTTACATATTTTGCGTCCAAAACGACCGTCTTTTCGTTGCCACAGACCGGAACGCGGCCGGTTGCCAAGTTCACGACTACGCTGCGAATTTAGCAGTTCTACAACCACCATCCATAATCTGGATTACCCGCTCTTCTTGAGGAGCTCTTTCCGTTGGACCGTTTCTTACTCACTTAATCCAATGATACTTTTGTTTAATGCCACCACCAATGCCTTTGGCTACCGCACGTCCTGTGACTGGTTCGCGCCCAGCCAAATGAGCTGCTTCCAGAGGTTCGATCGATGTACTCATCTTTAAAGTGTACAATACGTCGATATTGTATACCTACTCCTGGATAAGGGGTAGGTAATTCACTCTTTGGTTTAGGCACAGCGTTGCAAATCTTAATAAGGTTTCGTACCCAACCCAATACATCCATTCATATCATATAAAGCTGATTTCTGCTCATCCTCGATGCCAAAACGCACAAAACCGTAACCTTTAGAGAATCCATAACTGTCTAGAATAACTTTGGCTGTTTTAATTGATGTACACTTTGATGAGAAAACCTTGTACAGCTGATAGTCGGCCACATCTGAACTTAAGTCACCAATCCAAACACTAAACTCACGTTCATCCCCTGGCAATTTATAAGAATTGCTGGCACTATTCAAACGAAATCTTACGATAGGATTTGTCCCTGGTGTAGGTTTTCCATTCAGTTTATGCAAAGCATCCATGGCTTGCTCATCAGTGACAAAATTAACGAAACAATAACCTGCGGGTTCACCAGTCTATTTATTGCGCATCAGACGTATCGTGGTAGGATCTTCGCCCATTTTTCGAAAGGCTGCTATGATGAAATTCTCAGTCATGTATGGTTCCAAGCTCCCCATCCATAGTTGGCAATGCACAGAGGAACTCATATCTTTTTAATTCTTAAAAACTCCTTGCTCTAAGAAAATTTTCTATTCCAAACACTAATTAAACGAAGTTTACTATCTGCCACCTTTAACGAAAAAAGAAATTACAGAGTTGCAATTTCGTGTACTCTCGTATTTAAATAGAAATGAAGCAATAACAAGCTTTCAACAACATTATTACTTGTAATGTAAATATTGGCAAACATCTTTCGACTTTTGAGAAATAATATAATCAAAATTGCAACGCTGTTGTCTAAGTAAAAAAAATTGTTCTTTTATAATCTATGGAATAAAGCACAAAATTTCCGTGAAAAATTTTTGTCGTTTGCGCTGTTTTGGCATTAAAAACATAAATACCCGTAAGAACATTGCTGACTTCATTACTTACATAGAATACACGTAACGTTCGTCAAACCGAACACAGTTACACACATGTTTGTTAGGCAAATATTGTCATCAGCATTACGTTTTGGTAAACTCCAAAAACGTTCTATATTTTCTATAACGAATATCTGGTAAGTACATTAAGGTCACAGTAGTTTGAAAGCTTATAACGTATATGTAGGGGAAGTTTATATAAATTTCAAGTGGTAATAGATCGCAGTAGTCAAATTGATACCAGAAACATTCACGAAATGAGTTCAAAGTCGCTAGATTTGGATCAAGCAGAACACACAGACAGCAAGATGACGGTTAAAAAACTTCAGGATATGGATACAATTATTAGGTGAGCAATGAATTTAATAATTGCGTACAAAATTGCTGACTTGACTAATTAACACGGGCAGAGTAAACAATATTGAAAAATCTGAAGAAGATACTCGTGATTATCGAGGGCTGCAATTAGAAAACGGTCTGAAAGTGTTACTAATTAGTGATCCAAAAACAGATGTTTCTGCCGCGGCATTGGCTGTTCAAATCGGGTAAGTGATCTTAAAGAATGTTGCAATAAAACAATGAGTCATTCCTTTAAATATATGCTCTCTTAGACATATGTCCGATCCTGATGATTTACCTGGCTTAGCTCACTTTTGCGAGCACATGCTCTTTTTGGGAACAGAGAAATATCCACACGAGAACGGTTACACCAATTATCTCTCACAGAGCGGCGGTAGTAGTAATGCTTCCACGTATCCCTTGATGACAAAATACCATTTTTACGTAGCCCCTGATAAATTAGAAGGTGCTCTAGATCGTTTTGCTCAGTTTTTTATTGCTCCACTCTTCACGCCAAGTGCTACGGAACGTGAGATTAATGCTGTTAATTCAGAGCATGAGAAAAATCTATCAAACGATGTTTGGCGTATTAAACAAGTTCAAAGACATCTAGCTAAATGCGGACACGCTTACAAAAAATTTGGCAGTGGTAATAAGACAACACTATACGATATCCCTAAGTCCCAAAACATAGACGTTCGCAAAGAACTTTTAAGCTTCCATAAGAAATGGTATTCGGCAAATATTATGAGCCTGGCAGTCCTGGGAAAAGGTTAATTTTTAATATATAATAAATAAGTGTGTATAAGATTGTTATGCTCGTCATTGTTTTTCTCGTTTTTTAGAGCCCTTAAATGAATTAGAGTTGATGATTATCGAAAAGTTCTCAGAAATTGAGAATAAAAACGTAGATGTTCCAAAATGGCCACCACAACCGTTTGATGAAGAACGATACGGACAAAAGGTTTTCATTGTACCTGTAAAAGATTTGCGTTCACTAACAATTTGCTTCACAACAGATGATTTAGCCGAGTTTTACAAGTCAGCGGTTTGTCAATTAATTTAAGAAAAATATGCTTTAAGTAATATTTGCAACGTTTTTACAGCCCGATGGCTATTTATCGCATTTGCTTGGTCATGAAGGAAAAGGTAGTATTCTATCTGAATTACGAAGGTTAGGCTGGTGTAATGGGTAAGTCAGCGTACTTGATTCAATATCAATTTTCAAACATTTTCGGTTGCTTCTCCTCTCTAATGTAGTTTATTATCAGGCCATCAAAACACTTTAAAGGGTTTTGGTTTCTTTGAAATATATGTTGATCTAACAGAAGAGGGCTTAAATCATGTAGACGACATTGTTAATATAATATTTCAAGTAAGAGACACTATTTATATTTTTATATATATATATATATATATATATATATATATATGTATATTTCTAATTTAATAATATTTTTATATAACAGTATTTGAAAATGTTAAGGGAAGTGGGACCACAGAAATGGATATTTGACGAATGCGTTAAATTAAATGAAATGCATTTTAGATTTAAGGAAAAAGAGAAGCCCGAAAGTCTTGTGACAAATGCAGTGACTTCCATGCAGGTATAATTATTTAAGCTAAGTTAAAGCGGATGAAAAACTGTTGTTTATGTAATTTTTTTATAAAAGATTTACCCCTTAGAAGAAGTGTTGACAGCACCTTTTCTGAATAACGAATGGAGGCCAGATCTTATAACGAAACTTCTAAATGAATTAATACCATCTAAGTGTCGGATTGTTTTAGTGGGCCAAAGCTACGAGAAACATGCAGATCTTGTTGAGCCCTTTTATCAAACTAAGTATGGAACTCTCAAAATCAATGATGCGACTATCAAGGTACTTATCCAACATAATCAGACATAATCGGAAGCTATTAAAGCTAACAATAATTTTAAAAATTTTATTTATGCAGAAGTGGGAAAATTGCGAGCTTAATGAAAACTTGGCACTATCTTTGCCGAACGCTTTCATACCCGAAAATTTTGATTTGGTGCCGTTCGATTGTGATTTGTCTAAGCATCCCATAATTATCGCGGATACGCCCATTTTGCGTGTTTGGCATAAACAGGACGATTATTACTTAAAGCCGAAAACATGCATGTCTTTCAATCTATCTAATCCGATTGCCTATTTAGATCCGTTGAACTTTAATCTAAATTACTTAATGGTCTCTTTAGTAAAAGATCAACTGAACGAGTATATATATGACGCAGAATTGGCAGATTTGAAACTCCAAGTTGCTACTAAATCAAATGGAATTGAGGTGTGCTTTTTGCTTTATATCTCTTTTCGCATACATTTTTTTACGTAAGATAAACTATAAAAAAAAAAAAAAAAAAAAAAAAATGAAATACAAAAAAAATGCTGCAGAATTTGTAAAGTTTTGCTGCTTTCCTTCTTGTAGTCAGAAATTCTGCGAAATTTCAAATATCTCGTTGCTAATTTTGAGAATTGCGTAAAATGAATTTCAGGCATATGATTTATATATATTTGTAAATAACTTCTTTGTTTGTTTATTTTCCAGTTTACTATACGTGGTTACAATGATAAGCAAATGACTCTTCTGAAAAAACTTCTTTATCATTTATTTGAGTTTCAAGCTGATGAGAAACGTTTCAATATTTTAAAGGAGGAATATGCTCGCTCTCTTAAAAATTTCTATGCCGAGCAACCGTATCAACACTCGATATACTATTTGGCTCTTTTATTAACCGAAAATGCTTGGGCGAACAATGAACTTTTAGAAGCTATGGAATGTAAGCAATGCATTTAATAATATAATATAAGTCGATGTTTTGTAAATCGCTTATCGTTTTTATATGATTTAAGTGGTCACTTTCGATCGCGTAATTAGCTATGCCAAACAGTTTCTTTCACGACTCCATACCGAATGTTTTATCTACGGCAATGTTAACAAAAAGCAGGCGCATGAGATTGCCGCCGTAATGAACGAACAGTTGGAGTTGACGAATGCAAAAATCTTACCATTGCTGGCACGTCAAATGTTAGCGAAACGTGAATATAAATTATGTCCAGGTTAGTAATAACCATTATCCAAATATGTGCCTCACAATTGAGTTAATTTCAATTCAAACTATATACGATCAGTGATTATATTATTATTCTATTGCACTTTATATATTATTAGGCGACAATTATTTGTTTGAAAAGGAAAATGAATTTCACAAAAGTTCATGTACACAAGTTTATTTTCAATGTGGACCGCAAACTGATCATAGTAACATTATGGTCAATTTGATGGCTCAAATCTTAACCGAACCTTGTTATGATTGTTTACGTACAAAGGTAAATTATATTAACTAACTATGCATTTTTATACTACGTTCATATTTTCTATTCTATTCGTTTCTATTCATAAAATAAAGGAGCAATTAGGTTATATTGTCTTTAGTGGTATGCGCAAGGTGAATGGAGTTAATGGTTTTCGTATTATTGTTCAATCGTCGAAACATCCATCCTTTGTAGAGGATCGTATTGAGAATTTCTTAAAAAATTATTTGGTAATGCGAAAATTTATTGGCGTTAGCTTGCTTGCAGATACTATAAATTTTCGTTCGATCTCATTTAGCAAACAATTGAAGAAATGCCTCCGGAAGAATTTGAACGTCATAAGGAAGCTTTGGCTGTTAAGAAATTAGAAAAACCGAAAACCGTTTACAATCAATTTAATCAATTCTACAATGAAATCGCTTTAGCTCAATATCATTTCGATCGGAGCGAGGCGGAAGTCGCTCTTTTGCGTAAAATTACTAAGCCAGAACTAATAGAATGCTACAAAGTAAGCTTGATAGATTACAAAAATGGATAAATTAAAATAATTTATTTATTATTTTAAAAGTCGTTTATAGGGTGCAATAGTCCCGAAAGGCGTGTGCTCGTTGTACACATTTTATCAACGCAATACGATGCAGCAGAAAATTGTGACGAATGGCTAGACAGGCATCACCAAAAGATTACAGATTTTGTTGCTTTCAAATCGTCGAAAGAGTTATATCCGCTCGCATCACCTTATCTGAATATACAAGCGAAGGGTGCTCGAAGTAAATTGTAAAAAATTATTTGCAATAATTTAGAATGCCAATAAATTATATTTTGAAAATTATGCTTTATTATAAATACAAAAAAATTTGTATCAACAATGTATCATGTTTCAGGTAAGGACTCTCCAGCAGAGCAGTATTTGGTATTAAAAATCCAGCTTCTAAATTGCTATATTCTTGCGAAACAAGATCTTTGGATCCTTGATGATTCTGAAAATTATTCATCATCATTATTATTATTATCTTGTTACATAAGAAAGCGTGCAGTTGAACACACCTGATCTAATACAGATATTCTATGCTTGAAATTTAAATTATTTTCATTTGCAATCTCTTTAAAAATATTCCCCATATCTAAAGTAATGCTGCTTGTAGATGATAGAGTGGATTTAGGTTCAATTAATTGCAAATATAGAAAATCGCGATGTAAATGATGAAAATGAGCTCGTATACATAATGCTCTTCCTGAAACGATCGATGCATAAAATTTAAAATTTTTTTATTATTAATATTAAATCGTATAAAAATAATTGATCGATCACACCTGCAACTGTAAATGTTGGACTATCCATAATGGCGCTATTTTGGTTCTCTAGACGTTTTGTGAACATTTCAATTTTCCAATGGTAGGTGAACACTCTAAGATCACCGCTGATCTGATCTGGTAAGCCTGCCTTATTGATTTGTTTTAAGTTATTAAGTAACCGGTCTTTGGCTGTTACGGTCTCCTCACTTGATAATGATTTCAGTTTTGAACTGATACGATTGCTAATGTCATTCGATTTTAAATCGCTAACGATCGTTTGAAATTTTTCAGGTTTATAAGTTGTAGTCATTTTTACAAAATTTTTATCAATATTATTGTTCTGTTGATTTTGATTGAGAACCATTTCCGTACCGCATTTATATCTCAATGAGCGCAATATTCTTTTGATCTCTTCGAGTTCATGGTATAGCTTATTCTTTAAATCACTGAACGCGTGCTTCATTTCATCTGATCCACACACTCCTTTCAATGTTTTTGTCGTCACAGCCTCCGCGCTGGCTCTTACTTCACCGGCAGTTACAGTACAAACAGCTTTTTGTATTTCAGCCGCTTGGGAAATGTGCTCGGTATCGTTAAATATAACTAAACGATAAAGAAAATTTTGCTAAAAATTACGATAGATTTTATATATATATATACATATATATATATATTTTTTTTTTTTCTTTGAACATGCACACATTGATGCAGATACCGCGTACCATAAACAATAAATGCTTACTTTGATTTGATTCTGTCACGATGTGTTGCATATTCTCCGACTGTTCTTTATTTTCGGTTTTTATCATTGTAGCTGCAGCTGCATGAGCAATCAGTAGCATAGATATCCATAAATTTATTGACGGTTTCCTTAAGGTATATTCTTTACGTAAATTTACTTGATTATTATTGTTCGCAATACTCATCTCGTAAGCGTTTATCTACTAACTAAATAAGATAAGAGATTTCAACAACAAATTCAAATTTTACATGTCCTTTTATCTGTACCTGTACCTGTACCTGTGCCTGTGCACGGCCAAAGTCTCTTCATCACTGAAATTGATATAACGATTAGTTTATTATGGACATTTATATATGCGGTTTGGATGAATGTAGATAGATATTTTTCTGTACATAAGGAATGTCTCTCTGTATACATATTCATGCCTTTACATGCACACACATATATAAAAATTATTTAATGTTTGTGCTTATAAATAGATAGATAAGTTTGTTTAGCGATGTTTCATTCATAAATAAGTAGCGTTTATTATAAATTCAGGAAAAAAAAAAAAAAAAAAAAAAAAAATGCATGCTTCAGCTGCGAACACTCGCATCAAAAATGTGGACTTAACTGTAGGCGTGTGTGCGAACAATCAATCTTTCCATTAATAAGTGATTTACTTACCGTAATAAAACTCAAAGTTTTTGAAAATAGAAAATTAATATTAAAAATATTATAATCTATCTTTTAAATGCTTAATTAAAAATTGTTTGCAATTTTATTTCCATTTTTTTTATAAATTTTATCTCTTTTTCTCACAAAAAAAAATTATTTCTCAAACTTTGTCGCTTCTAAATACTTTGTATTTTTATAATCTGATGAAATACGTTTTATTATATAATTAAAAAATTTCTTCTTCCAATTTCAGTACATAATGTGTATGCCACCTTTCGAATAAATTCTTACTGAAAAACATATTATTATGAAAATTAATTTTTCATTGGATTGCTTACCAAATATGAGTTTATGTTGAGGTTATAATCAAAGATCATATTAAAGATTGCAACGCAGCTGTGAATCTATTCGTCCATAGAATTGACACCGCAATGTCCCGGCAATCAGATAATTGTGAAACAATTTCCCAATTACGGTAATCGTAAGAACGTAATAGTTGCTCGATAAATCAATTAAGCTAAGCCAAGCATTTTGACGGCGCGTCAGGCAATCCAATGCAAATAATAATAATGGATAGCTAAGATAATTATTTTGAAATGTGTTTAGACTAAAGGATTGAAGACACGCAATTATCGCTGGATTTTCAAGCAATCTCCAAAGGGTTAAATAAAATAATTTACCTCAAATACGTTCCTAAGATATGTAGGATATGTACAACAAACTACTCAAATATCAGAAATATTGTGATGACTGCCCAACAATTGAAGCTTTCCTAAAATAAATACTACTTCATACTTTTCAAATTTTCCGTAATTTAGATTCGTTTGCGGGATTTACCTAAGAACTTAAATCGAAGATAGCTTCTTATGTTTGAGAATTCCAGTAACAAAAAACACAGCGTGATTTTGACGGATAGAATGCAAATCTTCTTTTGGTAAAGGAGTATATACACGCATATATATATATATATATATATCGGGGAAGAAAATCTCAATTTAATGAGTATATTTTTGAGTTTGCAAATGCGAACCTTAAGATGGGTAGTATCACGTTTCGTTCATTGACCAGAATAGGACATTATTGTCGGGAAAGGCCGACCATTAGATACTCTACGCCACTTCGCCTTCTATCATTACTCGCTCATATTGGTAATAATGTAACAAAAATTACGCATTATTTTCATACAAAAGCCGCACTTTTCATGAAAGTTCGCATATTGGACGCAATCTAAATTTTTCAAACTTAATCAATCCCTCCTACTCTGCTTCTTAAAGATTTTATTAGTTTCCAGTTTCCATCATAAAAAACTAGAAATTATACTTTCTCTCCATGTAAGTGCTTGCATGATAACCTCTGTATATGTTCGGGTCTAAAAAAGTAGATCTATTTGATTCAAATTTTTGTACTGTTAATTTTTTTTTTTTTTTTTTTTTTTGCTAAATCGCTGCTGCGGATCAATTTTCATCATAGAACATTAGAAATTAAATCATTTTCTGCTCAGCTTACTATTCATGCGAAATCTTAAATGGAGTGGGGTCCCAGAAATAGGCAATTCATTGTTATGTCAAATGACTATAATGACTAAAATTTGCATCATAAAATATTAGCAATTAGTCATCTCAGTCAATTTACTATTACGAATCAATTTTTGAGATGAAATATTGAAAATTAGACCTTTTTACCATGTAAAGATTTCGTTTTCGTAGGAACAGCTGTATGAGGCGAGATTCAAAAAATTTATACCAATTTTTTCATATCAATGTAGAATATCGAAATACTATTGCTGAGCGAGTTTTGTGAAATGGAAAATTTTGGAAAATTGCAATTTTTTTCCATATAGCAACTTACCAAAATAAGGCGTTATATGGGGAGTGGATGAAAAAGTGGATCGATCCAAACCAAACCAAATTCAACAGATTTCGTTCTTCGGTGAAAGCACGTAATTATGAAAAATTTCATCAAAATATCTCAGATATTGCGACTTGTAGGTTAAACACAAAATTAGATGGACAGACAGACAGACAAACAGGCAGAGAATCTTAAATTAATTCAGAAAATGGTTCTGAATCGATTGGCGTAATGCAACGTGAATCTATCTCAAGTAGTGCTGGATGTTGCACACATTCGCCGAAACTTAATATACCCTTGCATAACAAGTGCTGTAGGGCATAAAAAGCTTCAAATCAAATACATACTCTTTTCTTGTTGATTCTATAATGCCTTTAACCGTTTCCCGGGTAACTTTTAATTTCCTTTGCCATAGACAAGTAAAACCAATATAATCGGCGAGATAGAGGTCATAGGATGCTTTGCACTACTTCGCCTAATACGACTGTTGATTTATTTTCTTAGCAAATTATACCTTATCTCCATGTTATCCTCAATTTAATTTATTTACATTTCCATTTTATTTCTAATTGCATATTTAAAGTACGTAATGTAATGTAATGTAATGTAATGTAATGTAATTCTATTTATAGCATTTTATATACGTACACATATATACGAAATTTTTATAGCAGGAAAAAATTTGCCAAATATCTATTTGAGTTTTAATTGAAACGAATCCTTTATTACTTAACTACTGAACAACATTGAAGACAATGACAGCCAACCAGAAGTCCGATTATCTAGCCAACAGCAGAGCCCGCACGGCCTTAATCCAGGTCCAGGATCTTTTTGCAGCGTTGCGCTCAGCCATATTAATAGGCTAAGAGCGCAACGGTCGCAGAAACAGTCATCACAGGGTGACATACTGCTCCTACAAGGGTTTTAATTCCCACAGGTATCACCGATACCGAGTCATGCAAGGGACGAGCGAAACGTCCCATCATATCCTATATAAATGCAAGCCCAAAAGCAGACACCAAATGTTTGGCGAACACTTCATAACACGAAACACGGTGTGGTCGCACCGAACCAATATTGATTTTAAAATATGTTTTTTTCATTTTTAAAGCTTAGGCGGGATATCCCTATAAAAGAGTTTAGGATAGGACGAATTAATGGCCTTCAAATCTCATCTTGCCATCAAGCTTAGGAATGCTGACATATTTGGCTTTTGATTACCACTGGATAATATTATTATTTATTATTGTATTGGTCTCGGGAATATAGTAATCCTTGCTTGTATCCATGTAGAAGAAGCTTTATAGGAGCAGTCTTCTTATTATTCTTCACTCATTTCCGTCATAATGCATTAAATTTTATATCTTATTAACATTAAAAGGGTTATTTGTTATGAGAATCTTTATATGTGTGGGTGGGACATTACTTTTCATGGGAGTCTTTATGTGGAGAATTGCCGAAAAAGTTGGCCTGCATGACCCAAATTTCACTCGGTTTATCTTCTACTGTATATTTGAAGATAAGACCGTGTTTCCATATGAAGGCTTCATAATTCTTTTAAAAGAAGTCGTTATATGGAGAGAGCAAAAATGGTCTGATGCAAGCCATTTTCGTTAGGTTGTTGACTCAAAACTCATTAATGGATTAAATTTCAATAAAATATCTCAAAACTCAAACAAGGCACACAAACGAACCGACAAACTTGAATCGATTCAGAAAGTGATTCTCGCTAGAAATTGATTCCGAATCGATGGTTATGATAAAAGCTGCGTCTACTTTACATCATTTTGGGCGTTACATACATTTGCGCGAATTTAATACATCCTTGGATCACAAGTGGCGTAAGACGTAAAGATCTTTCCGATCATTAAAGCGCTGCCTATCCTTAGCCATGGCAACTGTTCAACTTGTTCACTTATTTTTACAACAAAAATTGTATATGTTTTATTTTTATAGCCACCATCTTCGATGTTCACGATTCCAGTTCAGGATATCATCATGAAAGCGTAAACTTATACAATGCTATACTAATAACTATTCTTACAAATTATCCTTTGTTCAGATATGAAAAATGCGTTATTAGCCAAATGAGTAGAACGATAGACGAAATGCCAACTCCACCATATTTTGCGGAATTTCAGGACGATGACATATATATATTTCGGTTTGAGAAGACTGGAAGAACCGGCCGACCACGACAAAACGGGCTTTCATCAAGTCATTGTTAGGAGTGAATTTATCTTGCACCTGTACAGTCATTCCGCATTCTCTTATTAAAGTAATATCTTGACTATGCACTTTATTCGCGTCGCGCCGCAAGCATTTCGTCTTTTGTAAGATATTGTGTATAAAGTGAAAAGCTTGTCGCATTTCTTGCACATAAGGAAAACTGTCGGCAGATGATTTTAATGGACAGAATACAGTGCTATTTGAATGATCGATATATAGATAATAATATATTGAATTTTTCCATCCGGCCGATACTTTAGTAGGCACAACATTACTTATCTCTTTCCAAAGTGATTCAGTAACTTGTGATTGAGTGTCCGATTCAAAGCCAGTATAATGTAATGGGTTACGATCAGAGAAGTTTTCCCAATCCGAACCGCTGTCAGACTCATCACCGACCGGATTCGAAATCAAACGCTTTTTACTCAACTCTTCTTCACTGAGCGTTAAGCTGTGCACAGACGATCCGCCCAATGATGAGCAAAGTAATGTATCTTCATCGTAGGAAATAATTCGCTGTCCTTGAGCACTTGTGTTTGCGGTCAATTCTTTCGAACTGCAGCTGGGTGATGCAAGTTTGTGCTTAAGGTACATGTCAAATTTTTTTGTTGCGCATGTTTCTAATGATTCATGACCTTCGGTTGACAAGAGACTTTCTAATATTTCGGGACGTTTATTCGATACGGACCAAAACATGGCCAAGGACTCAATACCGCTGCGTATCAAATGATCCAATGTCTCTTGAATTTCCTCAATATAAAATAGAGATGGCGAAATTTTACAACCATTCTCTACATCAGGTGCTTCAAACATTTTCAAAATAACAGCCAAAATTAGATGATTGCGACCGCATAGAGTTAAAAAATAACGCCCTGTCAAATTATTAAGCTCAATCTCTTCCCAAATATAAAGTTCTTTCACATTATTTCTGGTCACAAAATCAAAAATTCCACGACATCGAAGTGTAACCTCAGTGTGTAGACGCATCTCTAAGGGCATTTGCGAGATCAATATAAAATGATTGAAATACAGTACGCTGCCGTAAATGAAGAATTCCCTATGCGTATGTAACGGCTCGTCATTCCAATTACGATAGTCCATCGACTCCATTTCGCTGAGCGCATCAAATATTCGTAGTTGGGCCTCTTTCGGTAACGGTAAGTAACGTGATTCTCTAAGAATTTCCTCAAAAGATGACGAATGCTTTTTATAGCTTAAAAGCAAGCGAACGCGTTGTATATTGCAAAAGTTTACCAAACAATTACGAAAATAACTATTTTTAAAGCTATCGAGGCCAATATGAGGCAACGCAAAATGCATATAATTTATGAGCTCATCGGCACGCAAATTGCTCTCCGAAAGATTGACAAACGCGCAAGGGAATGAGAAGAGGACAAGAAATCCGTTAATGTTTCGATAGCAAACGTAATATTGACTATTATCGAAAGTCAATTTAGACGCAGACGGTTTAGTCTTAAGTTCCTCGCTAAGCACCGTGTGCAAGGTAAGAAAACTTCCACGTGCTTTATATAAAAAATTTTTGTTAATATCCTCCGGATAATAAAAAAGCGAATTTTTATGCTCATCGTTCTGATAACACTCGGGTGGTAAGATTAATAAGGCGAACATTAATACACTTTCAAATTGTTCCGTTATTAGCGGCGATAAATTGAGTAATTTTTCAATCATACTGGCAAACATATCAAAATTTATTATTCGTTTTTTCTCGCTCATATTGGTTGTGCCAGAACTCTTGGCTTCATGTTGTAAATCTGAGCGCCCCTGAAATGTTAAGCATACCCTTGTTGGCTCAATAAATTGTAATAGGAGAGCGTCAACATTGCTTGTATGTATTTCGATATCATTCAGAGATTTGAACCAATCACCTTTTAGTATGGGAACAAGCTTTTCTTGCTGTAACAAAGCGGGCATATCGTGGACGAAACTTTCAACCATCAAACATTCGGGCTGATCAGGAAAGGGGGCAACACGATATCCTAAAATTGATTCCACTGCAGTCGATCGACGACCGAACCGATAACGATCCGAAGCGGTTATAACCAATTCTAGCGTTTTGCAATTTTCATGCCGCTTATCTATGTCAGCGAATTTCAATTCGGATTCGCCAGGCTCCTTACTTTCCTGATTCAGTTTCGAATTTTGATGAAGTGGCCTGCGAGCGTGCTTCTTCGAAAAACGCAATGAACAATTTTTGCTAATATCGCCGAACTTATCTGCGCTAATCGAGCATTTATTTAAATCGAACGGAACGTATTCGGCATAAAATAAAAGTCCATCTTCATTTACGTATTCCTCCCAGTTGGCAGTTTCACTGCCATCACCGTACGACTCTGTACACGATTCCGTATTCGATGAGTAACTATCTGAACCGCAATCATTTGATTCCATCACGGATTTTGCTTCCTCCAATAAAAGCGTATGCGATCTACGCATAGTGCACTGATATAAATGTGTATGCGTAAGTAAATTAGATAAGTAAAACTTTTCAATAATTTATAAAGTCTTTACTTTAAGTATTGCAACATAACAACTTGTTGTTGTTTTTTTTTTTTTTTTTTTTTTTTTTAATATATACAACATATATATATATATATATATATATATATATATATATAGATTGACGAGCAGAATTCTCAGCAGAATATTCACACAGCGCATGTGTGCATACGTTCGCAATTAAGAGGAGCTGCCAGAGTTGCGAACTAAAACATGCCCTCATCAAATTTGCGCCATTACAATTATTTGACTTTGGCAATTATTACCTCAAATAAATAATAAATTCGATACAATATTTAACGAGCGGTTACAACGATTTCGAAATATTCTTCATTCTATTACGGATTAGTTAATAGAGCGCAAGCGATGATGAGACTTTGTTTTATTGATAAACAGTCTTAAATAAATATGAGCGCACTACCACTCTAATGATAAGAGAAAAATTGCAAAAAAAAAAAAGAAAAAAAAAAAAAAAGGAATTCATTCGTAATACAGACATAAAATTTTATGATTAATTGCGAGTCAAAATTGATTACATTATCAATTGTTAGGTAGCAGGCAATTAAAGTGGACTAAAATTGCATTCGCGATATTAATTTTATATTTTGTATAGAATTTCAAATTGAATTAGTGTTGAAAATATAATTTAATTAAAATTAAAATAGTCATTGTATGCAATATAAGCAGTGACGACTGGGCCCCGCACATAAATAAAATGTATATACCTGAGAAGATCTTTACCATAATATTGGTAGGGAATTTTTTAATCGATTCTTCTTACATGATCGCTAATGGCGTTCATTCTAAAAATATTTTCGACAAACATTTGCATGGCAATTATTTCAAAGCTAAGGATAGAAACAACAATCAACACTTTGTTGCAAACAAGTTAAAAAATTCAACTTCTCTGCTGTATGGCGAAAGCATGAATGAACCGAACTTGTCGACTAACGGAAAACTCGAAGCAAAAATAATTACTTCGAATTTTGATGCGAACAGTGACGGTCGGCGAAGCCTTGTGAACGCTACCGAACAATTTAAAGATAAAAGCGATTATATTTGCTTATTAGAACATATAAAATCTGCGCAACTATGGTGGACTTACACGAACGGAACGCTTCGGATAGCCGAATCTAACTCCTCAAGTAAATAAAATATGAAATATTTTTTGATAAAAATTTGCAGCAAAAACTTTCCGTAGTAACATCTCCAGCATTTTTATAGTTGATATATCGCATCTAAATTTACAAACCGATGTTAGACTTTATGCGATGCTTCAAAATAAATTGACAATCATTGGCCAAAAGAAAGAAATAGCGATATTCAGTGGAGCCTATAATAAACTTACGAGCGTACCATATAAAACATTGCAAAGTATTTCGAAGCATTTACTGTACTTGACATTAAGCGGTAATAACTTCCCATTATCTTCATCGAATCCTCGAAAAAACGGTAAGAAATATAACTCAAACTTCATGAACTAATTATATGATATTTTTAGATGAAAAATGCCCTGACACGCAGAACGTGTAAATTAATTAACGTAGTGCACTGCCGAATGAATAGCAAAGTAGATAAAAGAAAGTCGTCTATCAAGTCCGTGTTCGCAGATTTAAAACGCAATGCCGTTTGATCGATACTTGGCTACACTTCTTGTCGAACTATATATCTATTTTTCTCTTTCACGACATCATTCTGGCCATAAAGATGTTACATGACATCCTCCGCGCGTTAGAATACTTTATTAGATCATAACGCCCTCTTTTGTGTTATTAAAAAAGCTAAGACTTGGAATAAAAATTTTCCAAGCATTGGTGACTTTTCCTCTTGCAATTTCAATGAACTGGACGCACGTGTGCGCTAGGTTCAAAAGTAAATGCAACACTTTCCCACATATGTCATTTAACGACTCCGCAGACACTTCTCAAGGGATGACAAATTTTCATTTCATCCTAACCTATTGCTTTATTAATTGATGGGCTTTTAATTCAAATAGATTATGAGCATTATGAGCATCGTCATAAAGTTTTCTGGCAGACAACGACAATCATTTTCCGAATCGATTTAAGCTCATCTATCCGTCGTTGTCTTAATGGTTTGATGCATCGACTTGTTTTGTCCCAATGACGAGCGGTGTTGCAAATCGTTCGAGTTGAACCGCTTTTTTGAGGATTCCCCATGTAACTTCTTTCATGTAACATCTTATTATGAAAAATCCGTTTTATTTGTGACTGTAGTAAGCGAGAAACGAGTTAGGGTATTCAATTTTGGATCGTGACCCACTACAGTGGTTTTACTTTTTGCTTGTTGGCAAATTTGACTAGACACTTACTAAAAACATTACGGGGTCGATCATAATCGAAGTAAAATTTTGGCTTTTTATGTTCTACGCCGCTTCCTTGTTAAGTTGTGCACACGTATGTAACACTCAGACAGACTTGAGATAGATCCATCTTTTATTATAACGATTGATTCCGAATCCTTTTTTGTATCGATTCAAGCCTGTCTGTGCGTCGGCCTGTTTTGTTTTCCTGCGTTCAATCTGCACGGTCGCAATTTTTGATATGAAATGTTTTGGGCAAAGGGCGAACACTCTTGAAAATTGTTCGAATCGGACCAGTCTTTACATTGATAACTGTAGTGCATAGTGCATAGTACGTCATGGCTCCCCATCTACCATAATATTTTTACGTGCCTTATGTTTAAGACGAGAATAACAATATTCTGTTTATTTATTTAATCTTTTTTTTTTTTTTTGTTTTCAACTTTAAAAGGTTTAGTGTCATGGGCTGCATTTCCTCCTCTACCCAAACTGATTGAGCTGGATCTTAGCCATTGCGGCATCGAATATATTTTGCCAAGCGTTTTCGAAAATATGCGAAATTTGCAAAAACTTTTTATGTCGCACAACAATTTCTTCACATTGTCCTTTGATACCTTTGTCAACATACAATACTTAGAGTATTTGGATATATCGTTCAATAATTACAAATCGACACGCCCAAATTTAGAAGAAATTCTTCATATCAATTATGGCATCAGTATTGAACAATTCACATTTAAATATTTACCGGAATTAAAGTATTTGGATTTATCGCATACAAAGTTGGCTGGGACTAGTCTTGTTGCGTTCACTCATCTCAGTGGCAAACTGAAATATTTAAGTCTATGTTACACTGATTTGCCCATAATAGGTAATGATTTATTCAAAAGTACCGTTCTTGAGGGTCTCGATCTATCTGGCAACACCTATGCCGCAAATAATATTATGGATAACGCATTTGAAGGCGTCTCTGACACTTTACTGTACCTCTACTTTGAAAGATCTAACCTGAAGAATTTGCATTGGATCAAGTGCTTGGGTAAACTGTTAATCCTAAGTTTGGCGGGGAATAACATTAATACCATATCATTTGATACATTTAGATCATTACATGACGTGGAGTTGCTTGATTTAAGTTCGAATCATGTGGGCAATTGGTACAGTCGCGTTTTCAACGAGAACGTAAATTTGAAAGCGTTAATTTTACGCGACAACAATATTAACATAGTAACTACGGAAATGCTTAAGGACTTTAATACGCTGGACTATCTAAGCCTTGGCCATAATAATTTCATTTGCGATTGCATGCTTAAGGACATTGTTGATATGGCTATCCCAAACTGTTATAACAGTGATTGCGAGCAATTTGGACAAAATGAAAGAATGAAAAGGCCATCTAATGAAATCGAAACCAGATCGTCTGAATTTTGGATCGCGAGATCGATGTTTTTTTCGAAAGCAGAAGATGCAATTCTACAAAGTGAAAAACGCAAGACTTCAAGGAGACACTTTAAAATATATCGCACAAAGTATGCCATCCGGCCGCTTCATTTATCAAATATCGAAACATTTGCACCGATTTATGATAAATTAAATGGAACATCACTCAGATTCCGATTGTTCGATTATGAAGAAGAGCACTATTGGTGTTTCAATGAAACGGAACGCCGAACAGTTATTACATTGAATTGCCAGCAGCCTTCGATCGTTGAAGAGATTACCAATTACTTACATTCGCTTACCATATTTGTAAGCACATCCATTGGAACCGTAATCGTATTGGTCGTAGTTGCAATTTTAATTTATTTCAATCGTTGGCACCTTTTTTATTATTACACTTCTTTACGATCAGCGACACTTTTATCAAGAGCTTTTAAAAAACGCGCAGATAAATTCATTATTTCAGCTCACAATTGCCCGAACATGATTTATGATCTATTCATTAGCTACTGCCAAAGCGATCGCAATTGGATATTAGAAGAACTCCTACCAAATATCGAAGATACAAATGAAATCTCTTTATGCTTGCACGAACGCGATTTTCAAGTATGTTAACTTATGTCAATCTCACATGACAGACCATTGTGGTTTTTCCTTCTTATAAAATTCTATCATACATTATATACTTATAGATAGGTGTTACTATACTCGATAACATTATGTCCTGTATGGATCGATCACGAGCCATTATGTTGCTCATTTCATCCAATTTTTTGCTTAGCCACTGGTGCCAATTTGAAATGTACCTCGCCCAGCATAGGTAAAAATTGAAATATGTTAATAAAAATGAAAGAAAAATCAATATTTTTATTATATTCCTTTTAGTATATTTGACGCCAGTAAAAATCATTTGATTATTGTATTTCTGGAGGATATACCAAAAGCTAAACGTCCCAAAACGCTACAATATTTAATGCAGATAAAGACTTACATTAAATGGCCCAGTGGTGATAAGAACACAACAAGACTATCAGAAGAGAGAAAGATTTTTTGGAAACGTTTGAAACGTGCCTTAATGAACATCGGATTAAATCCTGTTGAATCGAAAACTTAACCTAACTAAATTATTAATTATTTATGCCATTATCCAAATTCTTGTAGTACTGGAACAAACAAGTCAATGCAATCTTCTTTGCTTACTTGTCTGAGTGAGTGTGTATGTACGAGTGTGTGTGTGTGTGTATATGTGCGAGTGGTGTGTGTGTGTGTGTGTGTGTGTGTCGCTAGCCTCCACAAAAAGATATGCAACATTTTATTAGAAATTATGTAAAAATCCATGTAGAAATTCATATGGAAACTCATACCTATTCTTAACAATGTACATAAATTTAAAATACATATATAAAAAAGAAAAAAAATAATAAAAAATTAAAATACAAATTGCTTATATAATTTGTTCAAAAATACAAATTAATTAGGGTGTGTTTGCATTTGTACTAAATATATATAAACTTATACAACGATTCAAAATAGTTGAATCGGATAGTTCGAAAATATGAAAATGCTTAGAGCATAGTATATCCTTTGTACACTGTTACACTTATCTCAGATATTATCCGTTAAAATGTTTCATCTAAAAAACTTCATTGGATGAATAAAAGGTTCGGTTCTTATTGGCATATAATTCAAATTGTGCGTAGTATGATTAGTCATATCATTGGAAATGCAATCTGCGGTGGATAACTTCAACTGCCTCTCAGCAAGCGAAAGATAACTTAGCTTATCTCTAACCTGTAGAGGTAGATCGTCCTGAAGATTGAAATGGGTCGAAAGTCCGTTACTTTGAGTAAACGTAACTCCACCGCCTTGTTCTCTCGGAATTTTTGATATGATCGAACCATCATAAAATTTCAGTTGAATAACGCCATGAGATAACTAAAAATTACAATTCAAAAATTCTTGAGGAAATTGTTATGCGAAATGCGAAATGCTAACGCCTTTACCTCTGTAGCTACACCCAAGTCAGCTATGTTGATATGCTTTACCGCCATATTTTGCTTCGACGATGAAAAATCTTCAATTTCATTCTGCTGTTTTTGGAAATTTCGGGACGTTTCATCGCGGACATTAGACATAGGAGTTGTGGAAAACTTTTTAGAATTTCCTTGAAGTAATTTTGGTGTTGAAAAGTGCATAACATTGCCAACATCGCGGCTATGCGTAGAGGAATACTGAGATCGTGGCTCGGGATTAGGTCGGCGTCCAATAACCACAGGAAAGCAACGATTTGAACCATTTTTCTCTATTAATTCTAGGGCGTCGCATACGGACAAGCAGTGACTGTAGCACAATTTTTGATGTTCAATTAAAGGATCAGCAATTTGTGGTTGTAGACTAGGATTTATTTGTCGACTATGGCGATCATACACTTTCAAGCCTTCGGTTCGGGATTGTGTAACTTTTGCATCTGAATAAAAACAAACCTCAAAATCTTCCTTACTTTCCATAAGAGTGCACTTCGCTAGGTTGCTGTAGTAAATCACCTTAGGGGTTTTACTCTTCACTAAATTCACAAAACGCGCTGCATAAATATATTTTTTCCAGTGCTTTGAAGGCAAATTGTCATAATTGAAAATGCAATCTGGCGATGTGATCGGCAGTTCCGGTTCTCTATCTGTAACGGGCAAACCTCGTCCGGGGTCAGGCTGGTATATAATAATGCGCATACCGTCTTTCGATATCCAACAAATATCGGTAATCCGATCTTCATTCATTTTTGGCTTATATTTCATAAACTCTATAACCACTTCACCTTGAGATAAAATACTCATAATAGCAGTTTTCGTTTTGTAACGCGTTGGCAGCAGTCGTTCGGTATTAAGTCGAGCCACGGATATGCGCTCCGTTGTAACGTCAAATCTTTTTTTATTTGGTAAAAACTCGTTTTCCTCGTTTCCTTTTAGGTAACTGCTTGAGTTGGTTGTTGATACGGGGGCAGACTGCCAATCTCCGTACTTTTGATCTGTTTGCATGTCGTCATACGAATTGTAATTTAAAAGTTTCTGCTGCGCAGTATTTTCGATTTGAAGGCATTGGGCATGCGTAGGCCGATTGGAAAACTTGTCTGCTGATCGAGAACAGCATAAGACACGTGACGAGTTGGAAGCATTACCTTAAATTAAAATGTTAAATGCTTTGCATATTTCGACATGTTCAAAGTTCTTTGAAAACTGCACTTACTGCTTGTAAACGTTAAGATACCACTATCACAACTGGCACCACTGTGATTGTAGCTGGGTGATGCACCGGCAGGACAAATACTTGATATTATATCAGCATTATAGCGGACCATGAAAGAGTGCTGCAGCACATGCTCAAGTGCAATTCGTTCATTGGGATTTTTTCTAAGTAATTTGTCAAGTAGATCGATAGCATCAAATGATAAATGTTTCGGTACGTAGTAATCAGACATAACAACTTTGTTGAGAGTGGCCTGCACTGCATCAGTATCAAATGGCGGTTGACCAACGAGCAATGTATAAAACATACAACCCAATCCCCATACATCAGCTGGTAGGCCGTGCGATGTTCTAGCTATAACTTCTGGAGATATGTAATTCGGAGTACCACACATTGTTACATGACGTTCGTCAGGTTGTTTTAATTGCGCGGCTAATCCAAAATCTGCAATTTTTACATGCATATCTTTGCTTAATAGCAAGTTTGAAAGTGAGATATCGCGATGCATTATCCGATGCGAATGCAAATACAGCAATCCAGAAACAACTTGCCGCAAAATACTTGCAGCTTCGAATTCCTTCATTGGGCGATGCATTGTCTCTTTCATATAGCGTTGCAATTCTCCATTATGGGCTAATTCCAACACCAAATATACATAGTTTGCATCTTGAAAAAATGTATATAACTCCAAAACGGAAGGATGCTTTAACCGTGAATGTATTTCGATTTCCTGTCGCACTCTGTTTACCATTCCAGCGCCCTGGATTAATTTTTTGTCAATCTGCGGTAAGAAATTATCGTCAATATATGTTTCCTAGAAGTCCAAATTTATAAAACCTTACCATTTTAATGGCAACCATTTGACTGGTTTTCAAACATCGCGCTTTATAGACGCTTGCAAATCCTCCTTTGCCAAGTAAATGCAGTACTTCATAATCCTGTTATAAGAAAGTTTATCATTTCACATTCCATCTTCAAATTTATATGTACTTACGTCTATTTTTTCACCAAATGCAGTTTGAACGGACATTGCTATATATGCTTACCAAAAATGTTTAAATTAGATGAAATATTAAGGAAATATAAACAAAAACAAATAAATAAATTAAACTCTGCATTTGTTGCTGTACTTTTCAAATAAGTCAGCCAAACATGAAGCGATTACTTGAATTATAGTAATCAAATCAACCACAGAAAGCAACCTCTTACTACAAGCCATGCATTTTTTTGCAGTGATGCTCAATTTATTTTAATTAATTTAATATATCTTTTTACCAACTTGCCTCGAAATAATTTTGGTAGAATGCAATTTATGTCGTAAACGTTTAATAATACCAACTGTATTTATACTATCGGAATCATTAATATACCTGTTGTTCGTCAAATATCAAAAGGCGCAAGCAATAAAAAACGAAGCAGTAGAATCGACAATCCTCCAACAAATTAAGAAAACAATATATTTAATACAATTTTATACTTACAAAATAATAATTACTTTTATGTTGATAATTATATTGAATCGTTAGCCAAATTATAAATTAATAAACTTGAAATTATTCGAATATACAATAGCTTAGTACTTAGACGCTAATAATTGGTATCACTTAGGTATATATTACGTATATACATTTGACTCATAATTTCATATAGCAGCTGTGGAAGACACCACAGAATAATTATATAAACACCTACAAATATTATTATGGGTTCAAGTTCTATATTTGATTATTAAATAATCTTGGTTTAGTTTGAAGAAACAGATGGCTAACATTTTACATATAGAATGTGCTAATCTACTGCAATATACATTTCATATGCTGCTCTCAGGTTAGAGTTTACAGCAACGCTATACTGACACTTGATATGTGAAATCTTAAGTTGGCAGTGCCTTATATTTTTCACAATGAATTTTGTAATCGGCGAAAGCTAATACAAGCTTTTGATTTTTTAGAGATTTTCTAAATTTCTTCTCGAATCTACGTTCTTTACCAAAATGAAATTATGCTAATAAATGGTTAATATGACTTTCGGTTAATATATTAGCTAATTAAATGATATATATTTATGCAAATTAAAGCAATACTGTGTACAAAACCTCGCCAAAGTAGATTTCACAACACTTTCCCAGAAGTGATTTTAAACGCATTTTGTCTAGACCCTGCGGTTTAAAAGGCAACAAGTCCAATTGTGATGTATTTCCATCGATTCCACTTGAAAAATATTTATTAATATAAAGCGAAATTAAAAAAAAAAAATAATGTGTGATTATACAAATGACGCAAGCGGCACACCATATGAGTTTTTCCTGTAGCATACCTGATAAAATAAGCTGCTGTGTACAACGCTGGTCTATCGATATAATATAATAAATTGGTAAATATAAATCGCACTGATTGTTCTTTTTAAAATTATAAATCAAAAACGAAGTTTAACCTATTTTACTTTTCAATTTATTTAATTTTCAATTTCTCCTCACAGGGCTGCATGAGATTGCAAATATCCCCTTTTCATGGCCATCAGGCCTGATTATATATGTTCTATTAATTTGACATTTCAGTCACTAACCTCAAACATGGGCCAAAAGTGACAAGTTAAAATAACTTTTTTTTAGCAACAATCGAAAAATATACATATGTGTATTGACATTACAAAGAAAATATATAAGATCATATAAAGTGACACGCTGGGATAAACATATTATTATTGTTAAAAGTAGATAAAAATTTAATAGTTTTATAAAATTTTGATAAGTGAAAACACATAGAAAATTTATATACTTATATAGTGTTGTGAATTTACACAATCGCCAAGGTGTTCGGTTCTGTATTATTGTAAATAACTTAAAATATGGAAAAAGAACGTTGCGTAAAGTATGCCGGCAATGCCTCCGATGAAACTCACGAGCGAGTTGAATTTTCACATAAGAAGCACAAAAAATCAAAGAAGAAAAAAAGTCACAAAGCCCGTGAAAGATCTCAAATTCATAGTGGAAGCAACAGCTTACGGCGGCATCCGTCTTCCAGTGCGAATATGAAAAGAAGAGAACGTGATGGCAAATCACAATTACTGAATCAAAGTGGTGTAAATGATGTCGAATACTCGGATGTCAGTTCGACAGATTTCTCTGATCCGGAGGCAGGTGAAATTGATTCGGACCGACCCGACGCTGGAATTAAATGCGCTAACAGTGGGTCATACAATAAATGCCAAAACGAGAGAAGTTGTAAACAGATTAAAGATTCTCATTCACCATTGACGAAATCGTTGATGAAATCCGATTTGAACATTAGCAGTGATGAGGAAAATTACAGGTAAGTCGTATATAGAGAAAACACGTATTTTAAAGTAAATCATTTCATGTGTCTCTAATATTTTTGAGCAAACCCAAATAAATTAATAAAATCAAATAAAGTAAATTTGGTAAAAATAAGAACAAAATTTGCGAATATTTGCAATTTAATAATCATAGGTGGATGGATTGTAAAAAAAATATTGGTTTTAATATAAAGCCGTATAAATCTGATAAATTATTCCATAAAATTTGTAGAAAAAAACGGAAGGAAAGTTTAGAAAACCTGTCAAAACTTTCGCCAAATCGTGTCCGACGTATTATACTTGGTTCTCCGGTGCACGTGGCCACGAAGGCCAGCAATTCATCTGCACATAATGTTTCCACAAAAGTTTTGGAAAATATAAAGGACCGCCATTCTGTAGGTCCGTCCAATGCTAATTGCGGGAACAATCATAACCCACAGAAAAGTACGCCTGCCAGCGGTGATTCGGACTGGGATACAGCACTAGATCCTTATTTAACATCCGATACTATTGATACTGATGAATTGGAAGCAGAATTGAAGCGGCAAAAAAGAAAGAAAAACAAAAAGGATAAGAAGCACAAGCGCAACCGAAAAGCAAAGAAACGTAAAAAGAAGCGAACTAAATCGTACTCAAGTATTGATTCAATAACCGACAACGATTTGGATATGGTTTTAGAGGCCACAAAACATTATACACCACCACCGGTTACAGCAATGACAACCAATTGTCCGGATGAACGCACCTATACTCCAATAAAAGAGCGAAGTCCACAATCACCTGATACCCCGCCGCCTGCGCGTACTAATAACAATAATAGTTACTACTCAGAATCCGTAAGTCTTTCGGGAGCGGGGGTTGGCACGGGAGCAACTTCTCTTTTAAATACATCTAATAATCTCATCGGTCTGCAGGTTATTGTAACGAATCGAGGTGGTAGTGCACGACATTGTACGCCCTCACGCAGCTCCGCTAATAAAGGCAGATTCTCCAGTGCTCACTCCCCGCATACACCACCGCTTTACGCTAGCAGCGTCAGCAGTACATCGGTGCGTGAAGGACGAGTGAATTCTCGATATATTTTAAGTCCAATTAAGGAAGATCATCGTCACCATCATCATTTGAATCGTTCAGACACAGTGAGTTCAAGCAATCATCACTACCATCAGCGTCAGTCTGCGATAACTAGCAACGACAATCGCAAATTTAAAGAGGCAGATCGATACTATCACCACCAGCCAACTACTCCGCCACATAAAAAGCGAAAATTACATGACAGCCGCCCATCTACCTCTGCGGCCGTATACTACGATCAGAGTCGTCACAATAGTAGTACAGGCCGTACCGTACGTGGAAACGATTGTGACCGCTATAATAGGGAAAACTACTCCCGACGTTATACAAGGTAATAATTAATATATCTTTGAATATTGACTATTAACACATTTTTTCTTTTCGTAGAAGCCCGAGTGTAACTCACTCTCGAGTTAGACAATCCCCAAGTACATCCTCTGCTTATCGCATTAGTGGTACTCACAAACACAAATATACTACGTCATCCCCCTCCCCAGTTCGTTCGCGATCATCGAAGCGAAGTGATCGTTTTCCATCACGCTCACGCTCACCACGTCCGGGTCGCTATGCGGATTCATCTTCTACGTCGCCCATAAGTGGTGCGACGTACAATCAAGCGAGTCATCCTTCAACATCACGTTACAGACATACCCATTTGAGACGTTCGCCCATTAGCGTGTCACGCAGCCGATCTCGTTCAAAATCCTCTTCTCCGCCTAATGATTTAAAGCAGAAACGAATAGAATATAGTAAGAAAATAAGCGAAACCAGCTTATTTGCTGAATTGGTGAAAGACAAACATAAAAGGCAGAAAGCTCTTCAGGTATAACAGTCGTTCCTCTACACATAACGTTATAAACTGAAACATAATTGCAATTTATCTCCATCGTTTGACGCGAAATTTGATGGTAATTTTGTCGTTCCGTTTTTAACATCTAGAAGCATTCATCAAAGACTTCATTATATTGAACTTGATCCTATGATTAGATAAAGCCGTAACTATGATTAGCGTTTGAGAGCTGTATAGGAGTAGGTCAAAATATGAAATTAGTTTGAAAAGGGCAGATGATATGCCATAAATGTCATATCTTACCGCTAATTTATATTAGCTAAGTCCAGAGCTAATTTTATTGCATTTAAACTCCTTCCTTTCTCTCACATGACTGTGATAAGTGGAAGACTCGTTCTAAAAGATACAAATCTCGACGAAGTGCTGCCATTTCATTTTTTGTTTAAATAATTCTTATTTGTTTTTGTCAATGCAGGAAATTATCGAGCGCCAAGAAGAAAATAGCAATAGTAACGGAGCTCTCGCAATAAACGAGAATAGCTCATCTGTCGATAGTGGTACTGTTAGGACTGCAACAAATTCAACGAATACACAAGTAAGTGTATCATCAGATGCCAAAATAGATGCTGCGGTAATCAATTTAGAACCACCGGAATCTACTGTTACTAGTAATGGTGTCTACAATAGAACCTCCGTGGATATAAATAACATTCCGATGCCTCAGCTAGGATGCAAAACTACGAGCAAAGAAAGCGGCATTGACGAAACAGATAAAGTTTCGAATGCAGCAAAGCAAAGTGATCCTATTAAAACACAGAAACCTAAAAGCCTTACAGCACTGCCTATGCCACCAGGTATGACGGCTGCCGACTTAAATGTGGCTTCAACTCCTTCACCACCTAATCATCATAGTACAGCGCCAAAGCATCAAGCTATCGCAAATGTCAATATTGCATCAACACCTCAGAGAAAAAGCGCACTTGCGTCTACATTGTTGACCCCAAGCAAAAGCCTTTTAAATTTACCTATGCCTCCCATGGTTCCAGGTAGCGAAGAACTCAGTGGTGATGACGAGTTGATTAACAGTCCTGAAGATTTCGACGCTATTACTAACAATGTGAACAACAGCCGCGTTCAAGCCAAGACAACTGTAAATGCTGGATATCCTTGTATTGCATCTGTGAAACGTAAACGTCCAATAATATTGAATCGGCGGGATTCACGAAACAATGTTCGCGATTGGGGTGATCGTTGTGTTGAGGTTTTTGAAACAATTGCCCAAATTGGAAAGGGTACATATGGTCAGGTGTATAAAGCCCGCGACCATCGCACTAAAGAAATGGTGGCTTTAAAAAAGGTTCTAATGGACCATGAGAAAGAAGGGTTTCCTGTTACTGCGGTTCGTGAGATTAAAATACTTCGTCAACTTAATCATCCGAACATTGTAAATCTTCATGAAGTTGTAACTGATAAACAAGATGCTCTTGAATTCCGTAATGATAAAGGATCATTCTACTTGGTTTTCGAATATATGGACCATGACCTCATGGGTTTATTGGAGTCTGGCATGGTTGATTTTAATGAAGAAAACAACGCTAGTATAATGAAACAATTATTGGATGGACTGAACTACTGCCACAAGAAAAATTTCCTACATCGTGACATAAAATGCTCCAATATATTGATGAATAATAAGTACGTCATCTGATGTTATTCATTTTTAAATAAATTCATTCATTATTTCTCTTTCTAGGGGGCAAGTAAAATTAGCAGATTTTGGTTTGGCGCGACTCTACAATGCAGAGGATCGCGAGCGTCCTTACACAAATAAGGTGATTACTCTATGGTACCGACCACCGGAATTGCTTCTTGGCGAGGAACGTTACGGTCCCGCTATTGACGTTTGGTCGTGTGGGTGCATATTAGGAGAGCTTTTTCAAAGACGTCCGTTATTTCAAGGCAATTATGAAATGGCTTTGTTAGAGAATATATCGAAAGTATGCGGGTCTCCAGTGCCTGCAGTTTGGCCGAATGTCATCAACCTCCCCCTCTTTCATACACTCAAACAGAGACGTCAGCATCGAAGACGTTTACGTGAAGACTTTGAATTTATGCCAACTCAGGCATTGGACCTGCTCGATAGGATGCTCGAATTGGATCCAGATCGACGCGTCACTGTCGAAGATGCCCTAAATTCGCCATGGCTTCGCAATGTCAAACCTGAAGAGTGAGTTCTCACGTACTTGAACTTTGCACCAATTATAATTTCTTTTTCGTAAAGAGGATCTTGTGCGTTTGTGAAAGGCTACATGGGTTTAAGAAGAAGAAAAACTATGTTTTTCAAAATTTCTATTTAAAAATTTTGACAATTAACACGTTTTTCGTAGTGGTTTTATCTGAAATGAAAAAAAAACCAAATATTCTTTTTGTCAGCATTTAAGATTAAAGTACACACTGAAACTTGCAATTTTGGCAGGATAATGTGCTAAGAACGACATTTCTCGGTTAAGCTTGCACCATGTATTATTTTGTGAAAAGAGTTTTCATCAAAGATAAAAAACTCTTCGTTTAAGCATTAAGCATGAGATAATTCTATTTCACAAGAAATCGGCATATTTTCAATAAGATTGATGCGCTCGTTTATGAGAAATTGCGTTCGCCGATTTCAAAAATAAAGTTTTGAGAAAAACGCGTTTAAAGTAGTACATAATTTCCAAAGGCTGTCTTATAATTGATACTTTGGACTTTGGAAAGGAAGAATTATAATGTTTTTGTATTAGATAAAGGCATAAAAATATGGATTGCTTGAAATTTTAAAGCCCATGTAACGTCTTAACGAACACTTTTTGCTTTTTGTTGTTTTTTTTGTAGAATGCCCGCCCCAACACTGCCCACTTGGCAAGATTGTCATGAAATGTGGAGCAAAGAACGACGGCGCCAGCAGCAACAACAACATCATCATCATCAACAGCAGCAACAGACACATAATCATCCTGTAACGCCTACAACAGTGGGTGCGGACGCGTAAATGTTATTCTAACTGATCCGGCAATCCAGATAACTGAGAATTTTTCAACGCAATAGGGAGCATCTATTACAACGTCTACGATATGTACACGTATGCCTCTGGAACCATTAGCACCATAACAAAAGGGAATGCAAGAGATACTCTTCGAAATGCTCAGCTCACCATTTACCGTTGTAAGAGTCTTGTATTTCTTATTATTTTTTCTTTATTAGCTATGTTTTAACCACTCGTGCGTTATAAAATTAGTTTAACTTTTCTTCTATTTTTTTTTTTTTTTTTTTTTTTTTTTTTTTTTTTTTTTTTTTTTTTTGTAGGTTGCTTTAGGTACATTTCTATTATAATTAATAGCTTTTTTTTTTTTTCTGTTGAAATATAAACCCGCAAATACCAAAACATATTTTGCAGAGAGGACGCAGTCGTTGCTGCAGTGTAGATTTGATATGTAAATGAAACGAATAAGCCCTTGTAATGACTTTATTATTTAATGTAGGCCTTTTTTCTGGCTGTAGTAAATCGAGATGATTTACCCATGTATTAATATGTTTATCAAAGTAAGAAGAAAGACCAGCATTTCGCTTATACTTTAAGAATTAGAAAAGTTAGGAATATGTTGAGTTCGCAGTCGAAACGTTTACCCTCCCCCCCCGCCCCACTTAATATTGTCTGCTATAATACAAACACAAACGCACTTGCGAGAATCGGTAAAACTAGGAATGGTTGTTCACATTTAAGCGATAAACAAGCAATTGAAGATGATTGCTTAAGAATGTGTATAGAGCAGAAATACACAACTGTGTCAGTGTATGAAATCTATGGTACTTTGATTTGAGAAAATATATTATATTTTTATTACTGTGTAAATAATATAGTTTTTATATAGTCCTTATTTTTTACATTTTTAAATTCGACGTTAAAAAAAAAAAACAACAACAACAACAACAACAAAAAAAAAGCTATAGAAAAAGATGTCGTAATGCACCTAAAGGTCGAGAAAGAATTGCTGAAAACATACGTTAGGTAGACAAGACAGCGAACATGCCTAAGTACTCCAGAGAACATTTATAAGTACTTATCGGTTATGTGGATAACGCAAATGTATCCTTTAAAGATGCCCCCTTTAACAAATAGGAAATGAAAAAGCCACAACCAAATCGTATTTTTATATTTTATCTTAAGCCTTTAAATATTGTTTGCTTTATTATTGAAAGGTAAAGGAAGTTATAAAACGAAAGCTCTTCGAAAATTTGCATAAAAAATGGGTGCGTGTGAGACTGAAAATTAGCATACAGTTTAAATTAACACATTTAGGTGAAGCCTACCACAAAATACTAACATATATATATGTCTGTATATAATTTGCATTAAAAAAAAAAAAAAAAAAAAAAATTCATATTATGAGTTAGAGGAGGATTCACCTTGAATTGAACAATTTTTAA